GTTGCTCCCAGGCCAGGAGTGTAGGGTGGCGCTTCCGCTTGCCTTAGGACTGGGTCCAACAGCTCTTCATCTGCTGGGTCTTCAGGGTCAAGCTCGTCTAGGCTTCGTTTGTTTGCCCTCTAGGCTTCGTTTGTTTGCCCTGTTCAAATCCAAGACTCGCACTACCCTTCGCTGTCGTAGGCCTTGTAGGGCTAGTTTGGCTCTTTCTTCTGACTGAGCCATGCCCTCATCATTGGGCATCTTCCTGACGTGCTGACGTCCTGCACGAATGAGGGAAGTGCCGTGAGCGAGCCAGTATGTCGTGATAGTGCCATCATCGGGGTTCTTCTCAACAGCCAAAATGACTGCTGGGCCTCTCCACTGGATGGTGTGCTGCCGATCTGGGGCTTCGCGCCAGTAGAGGCATTTCTCACCTGGCTTCAACTCTTCATCTTGGCCCACGAACTTGCGCAAGAGCGCACGACGAAGCTTCACATCCACTTCGGCCTTGGCACATGCTGCTTGAGCCTCGAGCTTCAGCTGGAGTCTTCGGTGGAGTTTCTCCTGCTCTCCCATGTTCAGCTGGTTCATAGTAGTCCTCTCACCGGACAATAGCCCGGGAAGATTTGGCTGCCTGCCAAGTGCCAGCTGTGTTGGAGTGAACCCATTCACGAAGGTGTGGTCATTGAGAGCAGGAACCACCCAGTTGAGGGCGTCTTGTACGCCATGGATGTCTTTCAGGCCATGTTCCTTCATGAACACCTGGAGGCTTTTCCTGAGCAGTTGATGCCTTCTTTCCACAAGACTTGTTCTTGTGTGACTTTGGCCAGGGCTGATGCGCATCTCAATGCCGCGCTCCTCTGCCCACTTCATTGTACTGTCTGAGGCGAATGCTGGATGTTCATCAACAAAGAGCTTGTGAGGTGGTCCGTGAAGCTTGATCCAGCTCCTTTCCATCGCCTTCTGCAGTGTCGTGGCTTGTTCTTCACCGATCGTCCTGGCCATCATGTATCTGGTTGCTTCATCGACCATGACCATGATGCCAACCTTCTTCTGCTTCTTGTCTCCCTTTTGATCTTCCAGGGAGTTGAGATCTAGCCACATGACATCGCACTGGACGTTCACATTGAACTCCGTCGCCCTGTTGAGATGGGCTGGGGCTGCTGTCTTCTTGATGGCAAAGGACGTGCAATAGGGACATTCCAGGTCTTTGATGGCATCCACAACCTTAGGATTGCATGGCTTGTCCTTCAAAAGATTGAGCAAGACCTCAGTGCGTGGATGGCCTAGGTTGCGGTGGAGGCGGTATGCCACCCGCACGGCTTCAGTGCCATGCTTGGTTCCGAGCTTTCTCAGGATGCCCGTCAGCTGTTCTTCTTGTCCAGCTGCATAGACCTGTTCGTGTAGCCCTTCATCAGCCATGATGGCCTTGGCAATGTGTTTGGCCAGGGATGGTGTGCATGATCTCCTGAGCGTCGCCTGGACATTTGCCAAACCATGGCCTGCTTGGTTGTCTTGAGAGTTGTGGACTTCTTGATTGGTGCCCACTGGCCGTCATCAGTCCAGGTAGTAGCTCCATATGCACACTGGTCAAAGGTGACTTGCATACCGGGCAGCGACTTGAACGCCGGTGTTGACCAGGCCTTGGAAGGTGCTGGGCGCTCGATGTGGGCATGGCGCCCGTGCTTGGCTTGCTGCAGGTAGAGTCGCCTGGCAAACTTCAAGTGGATTTCATGATCCTCCCACTGCTTCTCACGCAGTGCTTGAGCATCTTCTTCATTGCGGACGTTGATGTTCTGCATGGGGCTCCATAGAGTGCACTTGGGGCTGATGAACACTTCATCGGGTTCCAGCTCCTGCTGCATGCTCAAAAGTGCTCTCCTGTGCTTGGCTTTCGTGAAGTCCCAGCCATCATCGAGCCCGAATCTCATCACTTCCGCTCCACTCCTTGCACACTCTTCTGAAACTCGTCCACGCCCTGCGTAGACCTCCCACACCAGCTTGCGTCTTCGAGCTTCAGGTCTAGCCTCCTGAAGCATTTGACTCTGCTTCTTCTTGATCTCTTGCAGCTGGTGTTCGCAGCAAACGAAGAACTTCTCGAGACTTTCGATAGTCTTCTCAACTCCTTCTTTCTCTTCGGCCTGAGGTCCATCATCTGCCAGGCCTTCAACCTCAGACTTCATCTCCTCGTAGCGCTGCTCAGCGTTGAGGTCCTTCAGGAACTCATGGAGTGTCGCTGATTCAGCGTGGTCGTCTTCACTTCTCAGGTCGAAAACTGGCTGTGACAGCTGGTCCGCTTCATGGAGGTTCTGGCAAAGGGGCAACAACATGGCTCCTTGTTTGCCACGTTCGATCTCCTTCCATGGCCCTCCCATGATGCGCATGCGGTTGTCACCGAAGTCAACGATGGTCTGCAGCTTCTCCAGGACAGGTCGGCCTAACAACATTGGAGTTGCACCAAAGATCACATAGGACTGGATCCTTCCAGGGACACCCTCAATGAGCACCGGGAGAGAGATCATCCAGCGAGAGTGGCCCTCAGCATCTCCTCCAAAACGGAAGGCCTTGTCGCAACGTTTGAACTCCAGCTGAGACACATCGAACCCTTTTGCTGCCAACCAACGAATGTACCTGAGCAAATACTCTGTACCCATCAAAAAGCTGCTTGCTCCTTGGTCCTGGATCGCTGTATCGGCTCTCTCAGTCAACCAGCCTCCTGCCCTCACGAGTTGTTCACCCTGGGCATAGGCCTCCTCAGCGTCATAAAACACTGGCTGCTCCAAATCCTCAACTGCATCCTCAAACTGAAGGTGCTCTTGATGGAACACCATACCAGCCAGAAGGGGATCTCCATCTTCGAGAACTCTCTTCTTGGGGGATCCTGTCTTGGTCTGACAATTGGCCGCAAGATGACCCACTTTGCCACAGCGCAAACATGTTCTTGTCTCTGGCATTCCTGCCATGGCATCTTTGGCTCTTGCTTTTCCTGTTGGACCTTTTCCGCTTGACGATGAGGATGTTGACTTTCCTTTTGACTTCTTTCCTTTTCCTTTCTTCCCTGATGGTGGACTCGGCGACCTCGGGGTTGTCGATGAACCGAGGGGCATCTGTCGTTGATCCACCATGGCAACAACAGGGTAAAATCCCCTGCTCTGCCTGAGCTGCTGCATCCTTTGCTTGGCATCCGTGTATGCAGCATAGACCTGATCGAAATCTTCAGTATCGAACAGTGAACTGTCGTCAACACTCATGGCATCGTAGAAGAAGGCCTCGTCGTCTTCCTGCCAGTATGTATCATCGGGATCATCAAACCAGTCCTCAGTGACATCTTCTGCTTCATAGTAGGTTTGATCCAGTTGATCCCATGCTGCACTGTCCTCAGGCTCCTCATCCACAACTGCATGGACGAGTTGGCGAGGTTTCCATCGTCCCTGCTGCTGCTGTAACGGATTCCGGCGTTGAGGCACATGTGCATGCTTGTGATCCTGGCCCAAAATAAGATACAATGCTGGCTCAACGGCTGTGAGGGTCAATGTTGTACCGATATGTGTCTGAATCATCAACTGTTGTTCTTTGGACAATGCTGCGCGACGGAGCATGAGCCAACCTGACACTTCCTGTGGGAGTTCAATCTTGAACTTCTTCAGCTCTCTCAAGGCCTGATTGAACTCGCTGCAAAAATCCAACAATGACTGTCCTTGCTTCCTCACCAGCCGAAAGAAAAACTTCTCAAAGGCCTCGGGCATCTCGACACGCTCATCATACTGCCACTGAGCGTCCAACCTGCGAAGGATTGTTTGGATTCCATCTTCTCTTTCTAATTCCGACAGTTCCAGATCTTCGCATTGCCGCCATGCGGCTCCTTCCAGAACTGACAACACGTTCAGGGCTGTCTCACGAGATCTGCCTTGGAGTTTCTGTCGGTGGGCATACAACTGAATCCTTTTCCTCCACTCCTTGTACCCAACCGTAGTGTTGTCGAACTTTGGGACAAAGAACTTGTCAGAGCTAGCGGATTCCGGTTGCTTCTCTTCAGAAGCGGTGGGCATGGCGTCGGCACCGGTGCAAAGCCGCCTTTGGCGGCTCCGCTACCAATGTGAAAGCTTGGGTGTGAAAACCTAAGCCTTGTGGAACCTGCGCTCGAAGTCAGGAACACGAACGAAACACGGAGGGGGTCGTGACATGCAGTGCAGTGTCTTTTCACGTGATTGCCTGTGACTCAAGGGCCCTATTCGCCCAATGAACCGAAAGCAACGCGCCACAGATCAAGATTGTGGCACAATCTTCACAATTACCCTTGAAATTGCACGTTTTCAAGAGGGCCCAAGTTTTATTCAACAATGCCTGCAAACTACCATGTGTTATGTGTTAACCCACTACGATATATTGTATGACACTGTGGTTCCTGCTTTTGCACTGTATCCACAGCATTCTAGCGCATTGCAGTATACTATATAATGTGCTGTATCGTCTTCGATTAAGTTGGACTCTTGCACGTGTTGTAATTACATCATGTCCGTCTTGAATTTGTACATGTTTGAAGGCGTCCAACTTCCATTCGCCGATGTCTGCAATGCGCCATGCGTAATTATATGTCTCTTGTTCTCCACTGCGTTGTATGGCATTGTGGTTTATACTAGTGTACTGTATCGTATTCGATTGAAGTGAACTCGAAACTACCATATTGCATCGTATTGCATGTATTGTAGTCAATCAAAAATAATACAGAAAATACAGTGCGAAAGCACGAAAAGGTTATTGTACAAACAAGACCAACACCCACATCACCACTTCATACCACAATTGTATGACCCCTTCTCTGAAGGTTCTACAAACCTTGCATGCTTTGGAACTTTGGGGCATGGGATCCTAGCCTACAGTGGTATCAAGTTTAAGAACCCCCGGCCCCCGGTGAGATAAAATGCTGGCGGTTCCCTTTGACTTTGGATTGCCGAGGGGTACGGATCACAAGAGGCTGGCGTTGTTTGCAAATCTCCTGTAGCCGCGCTACTTCAGGTCACCTTCTGTGTTGGTCTTCTGATTCGCCATACTCAAAAGTCCGATTCTGGCTTCTCCTAGCCACTCCATTCCAAGACACTTTCAAGTACATCCAGGCATCCTTTTTGGGATTCGGTTCTGTTCTTCCTGCCGTTGAAAAATACAAAAGTACAAAAAAACAGCAGCCCAAACACTGCCCTACAACATGTGCCATGTGCCCTGCTGAAAAGTCTGCCTTGGGAAGACAGACATTTCCTAGAATGCCCGACTCTACAATCCTCAGAGATTGCGACGTGCCTGAAGAGAAAAAACAAATTCAAGTCCCTTGATATTGATATTGCTTGGGTGACAACTTTGACTTCAGGGGCAATGTGCTGAAAGCTCGATCAAACTCGCCTCTCACCCGGCTCTGGGCTCAAGCAGGCAATCAGTGCGGCCATTGAAGGAAAAGTCAGTTCCCTTGCAGAAAACTGTTCAGGCTTGAAAGGTTTTAGAAGGCTTTGGCACAAAAAAATGAAGATCAAAAGGCAGATTGCCACTTCCGTTTGCAAAGTGTTGTTGCCGTCAATTGACACTTGGCCTGACAGAGTTCCCCCCCTGAAGTCGCTGGGGTGTCGTTGAAGATGAAGCAGGTGAGCTGATGCAGCAGTTGACACCAGCAGGGGAAGTTTTCTCAGAGACAACACATGCAGAGACTGTCCAAACACTGCCTGAAAGCTCCGCACCAATCACTGTATAATTGCAATGGAACCTGCAAGAGTTACAAGTTTTGCTATTGTTTCCTTTCTTTTGCTACTGCTTCTGCTTGGTGACGCAGAAGTCCGAGACGAGAAACGTTTTGCACGAGGCGACCGGTGCATTGCAAACATCGACCCATTGCTCCATGTGAGCACTGCACCACCTTGGTACAACAGGCGGACAATCCTTTGACCGGACACAGGTGGCACACCAGTGCAGCTGAGCTACGTCCCCAAGCACAAAATGAGTCCTGGGATCGACAAAATAGAAGTCAACCCAAGAAAAATCCCCAACAGCTGGGCCTATTAGGCAATGGCAACATGGCAAGTTGACCAACAAGCGCTGTCTGTGCCATACACTGCTGTATTCAAGTGTGCCATGTGAGCAGACCAAGCACATGTACCCACAGATGTGCAAGCACGACAACGGCGGAACACGCAAGAACCAGCGGAACCAATGCTGGTGGCAAGCTAGCCAGCACGACAGCATGACCCGACTTCAGCATCGGGCCAAGGGGCCAGCATGACAACTGATTGCCTGACACACGTCGGCGTGCCACCACGCCAGCACATCAGCATGACAACACAATTCATGTCAGCGTGTCTACACGTCAGCGTGACAGCATGGATACAACACACGAACATGACACCACGTCAGCGCATCCGCAAGACTATCCACCAAAACCTGTTTCGGAACCGCCTAGGCAACCTCTTTTGGAACCTGCCCAGGAACCTGCTCCAGAACTTGCTCTGGAACCTGATCCAGGGCCTGCTCTGATCTGCTCCATAGTCTCTACTATGGCTGAAAACCCGTGAGCTTCGCTGGGGAAAAAAAGAACAAAAACAGAAGCCGCTGGCGTCTTGACTCCTCTTTGACTCTCATGAACGCTACATAATAATAGCCAAACTTTGCTTCTATAACACTGCATACAAACGCTAATGACTAATCGAACCATGTGAAGCGATGACAACCTCGGTGACAGGCAGTTCTTCAAAGACTCAAAGAAAGCCCCAAGATACAACCTACGCAGGGCCAAGGTGCATTGCCCCGAAGTCTGAGACAGCAGCATGTCCACTTGCAGTAAACGCCTCCAGATCAATGAGTCCACATTTCACCATTTCTGTCTCAACATGTTCCTTGTCTTGCCTGGTTGCTCATACTTGCATCATTGGAAGGCCGTCGCAAGTGCTGCCGTCTGGTTTTCAGCCGAAAGCAGTCGCACACATTCATTCAGTGCAAGGATCAATATGTGCAACAATTGCAAAGCGACAGTTGGCACCTTGACATTTGCTCTGTGTGAAGCTGCTGTAGGAAACTGTTCGCCTTTGAGCTGCGTACATCACACGCTCTCCTTGTGGAAGAGTCCAGCCCTGCCTGCGAGTAGCCACGAGTGTGAGCCGAAGGACTTCCAATTCGTAGCCGCTTGTGGAGTCGAAGGCACAGCCTTTAAACAACGCATTCCAACTGGGCGGAAAGTCTGGAAAGCTAAAAGCTAAATTGTTGGGCCTTGCAGCCTTGTGCTTGGCTTTAGTGGCACCATGCCAAGCCTAGGACGCAGACTGCTCCTCATCCATGGATCGCTTTGTACAAGGTGTGGGAATCCTGACATCAAAATACAATCTGCAAATCCTGGCACGACCTGCAGTTATCATCTTGCGTTTTGAGATCTGTTTGCCAAGATTCTGAAGCTGGTGGAACTGCATGGACGCATTGCAGGGTGAGACTGAGACAAAAATCACTCAAGTAGCTGGAAGAAAGCTTGTTCTTTCAAGTAGCTCTGACAGAGTTTTTCCAGTACAAGTATGTAAGATTCCTATATGTTCAGCGTTCCCTTGGATTCCAAGAAGGTTCATCTTATGCTGGAGGCTGGAGCCAAACATATATCTTGAGGGGCGTTCCAAGATGCAAGTGGCATTATCTGGAGAGAGAGAGAGAGAGAAAAAAAACAAGAAGACTCTTCTAGAGGGAAATCATACAGCAAGCTTTGTAGCCTTGTTGTGTGCATCGAGGTTATGCAGGTTCCCTTTCAAAGTCGAAAATGTGGTCAGGTGAGTCAGGTGCAAATACTATTGGAGCAAATCGAGAAAGGAGCATCAATCACTTGCAAGCGCACCATTTGATCCAGCTTTAAGCTTGCAAATGATCCCCTGCAACTAACAAGTCCCACACAGCCTGGCACACAAACTGCTGATGCACAGGTTGTGGAGCATCAAAAATACCGAAATAAATCGATCAAACCAACCTGTACTGTTCGCTGGGAGTCTTCTCTATCGCCTGGTGAAACTCATCCGCAAAGCCCTCTTCCTTTAGCAGCTGCCTGGCACAAAAAGAGAGAGAGAGAGAGAAAAACAAAAACAAAAAGCCTAAAGCTGTTTTGTGCGAAATCAAAGTCAGGGCAAGAGTGGCTGTACCCCTGCTGAGATGGCCAGATTTTCGACCTGAAGAGTCTGAAGAGGTTCAATCCCGAAACTGCAAATTTAGTTCCTAAAACCCTCTGCCTCCACAGCAAGGGCATGAACTAGGCATTTAAGAAAGTCATCTTCTCCGATATAGCCATCCTTCGAAGAATCACTTTGTCTCGTGCCGTAGACACATTTTGTTGAGACGACGCAGGAGATGCACTGCTGGGGACTGTGCACCGTCCAAATCCATTCGCAGCAACCTGGAATGGCAGGCAAAGCAAAGGATGACAATGGGGAAGCCTGAAGCACAGGTTGACTGGGAATGTTACTTTTTAACTCACAAATCATTCGTCAGAGGTGCAGTTTTGATGCCAAAGTCTCGGAGTGCGTCTGCAGGTGGGTACAGCACCTTAGGCAATAAGTTCATAATTGCTGTTGCATGTTTTGTTTCAGGAAACTAGTTCAGGCTAAGCACTCTCTTGCTATGTTCAATGCAGTCACCTGCAGCAGTGCTTATGAGCAAAAATTTATGAGCAAAGTGTACACCGCAAAAAGGCCAGTCATCCGGTCAAGTCAAGCCCATATCCAGAGTGCAACAGGATAGAATAGTATTCCCAAGCATGCTCCCCAGAGTTTTGGTCGTTTGATTCTTGACCAACGGCCCAATGGGTAAACCTCTGAATTTCATCTTATAAACGTGATGTTGGTGTCAACTAGGTAAACTAGTCACAGGCAAAACTAAGTATTGCAAGCATGGTTTCCAAGAGAAACTGCCTTGTGCCTGTCCAAACGTGGTTTCATCTGCTCCAGTAGGGTAGCAACCTGCAATTAGAAGAATGAACCAAGATGGAGCTCCAAATGCTTTGTGTATTGGAAAACATCGAAGCACGGCAAAGGTGCTCAAGGGGATGCTGTGAGACTTACTGTATGGAGAAAAGCAATACCAAACACCGTATTATGGCCTCAGTTTGGCAACAATGGTCGAAGTTTCAATGGTAAGCTAAAGCACGGGCGACTCGACATCTAGGGTGCGTCAATTCAAAGCTGTTTTACACACACTCCCATTTCGCATGGGATTAGCAGTACCTGAGTCATAAGACTGAACTGCCCCCACACCATTTGGAAAAAGAATCAGCCTCTTGCAAGCGCCTTCGATCTACATAAAAGTGAAGGTTGACAAGTGCAAACCCAGAATAGCGGTGAAGTACACTCCCTGGGATCCACAGCCGCACATGCCATGTTTTGTTTGAAAAGGCAAGTGGGTTCACGCTTGTTCAGACTGCTTTTGGATAGGGGTGTGCGCAAATGTTTTACTCCAACCTCTACTCCTACTCCTACCTCTTCTATTTCCTCACAGCGCAACTGGCGATCCATGACAACCAATGACTATTCAAACTGGAAGCCTTACGACACTGGGTAGCAGTCTTGGCTGGGTTTTGGACATTGATGTGCTGCTTCTCTGCGTGAAGAAAGCCTTGCCCAAGCTGAACCTTCAGTTTCGCAAACGGCGGCTGACTTTCCAAGGGTGCACAACTCACTTGGCCTGCCGAAAAAGGTTCATGACCTGACCCACGGCAAGGGAGCAATAATGGTGATGGAAATATTCGAACATGTGAGGCTTCAACCAAATCATCGGCAAGAAAATCGGGAAAGGCCACCAAGTGGGCCAACACCAACTCCTGTTCAGAAAAGACTTTATAAAAACAGACTCAAGCCGCGCTGAAAACCTGTCCTCCACTTCCTCCACATCCAAGCCTTCTTCTTGAGGAGAGTCACGGTGCAATAGTATGGTGTCCTCAGGCAAGAGCTAGATGAGGCAGGCTAGTGGGGGTTGCAGCAGGTTTGAGTGATTTCTGGTGCGTATGAGAGCTTTACCCAAACAAGCTTGAGCTCGGAGAGGGGATCTGAGCAGTACAGCATGGATGGAATATGATGGAATGCCATTGTGTTTCCGCCAAATCAGGACCTTGCCTGAGGCATCAACAGCCTCAGCTTGCAGTGTTGGTTGTTCTAATATTTGCCGCAAAGGAATGGTTGTATCGTGAACATAGGCTTGCCTCCAGCTTGTCCTCCAGCTCCTCACGATGCTTTGCTGCTGCATCATGCATACCTAACATCGGCAAAGCTGCAAAATAAGTACACAATGTCTAAAGTGTCTGGTGCTTCTGTGGTCTTTTGACGGCTAATGACCAATGCAAATATCTTGGTTTCTGATTGCACACCACAAGGTTCAGCAGCTGGGGCCACCAACCAAGTGATCCACTGCTGGCGGCTGCATGCCTGGCGGAATGTCAGGTGTGACAGCAATTCTTGTTTATTCAACGTGGTTTGATCGTGGTTGAACAAATTTTCAGCCCACTGGACGCCAGGATTGCTGCATCTTTCAAAGTTCTTCGCACGCAAGGACCACTTTGGCCACGCATTGCCTTGACAATTGTGCTGCGTCATCATCAACACGTTCATTCGGACAACTGAGACTCTCGGCACGCAATAAGGCCCGCATGGCAACCTGGGCACGAACACAAATGATTACGGTACTGCAGGCGTTTATGCTGCCCAGAACCCTGCATTTCATTTGTGCCCATTGGAATTACATATACAGTTTCATAGAAACGCAGCAATGAATGTTGAATCTTGTTGACAAAAGGGGATAATTAGGAATCACTATGCTCTGAGAATCCATCCACGAGGGGATGCTGCAATGGATCATCATCTGCACTGGCACCCGCCATCTCAATCACTGTTTCGTCACTATGGGATAGATTAGATCCAGTATCACACTCATTGTCACAACTATGTACATGCATTACAGGTAGACATCGTACTTGTCAAGCCGTCATCTACACGAGCAAACAAACCCGAATTTCCCAAGACCTGACTGTCTTGCATGAAAAAGCCCACCAGACTGTCTGGCATGAACGGCTTCTCTGGGGCAGCTTTCCTTTGCTGGGCGGACACATGCTAGACGTCTGCGATGTTCACCATTGAAGCTGATGGGCCTGAACTGCCTGAACATGTTATTTGACAACATGATCAATAGACTATTTTAGTAGGTTGAAGGCCATCGCTGAATCGCTGATAGGTTGGAGACCATTGCTCTTAGGTTCGAGGCCATCGCTCTTAGGTTGGAGGCCCGCTGTCTGTTTCTGTCCTCACGCAGGTCTGCTGGTGCAACTGTTTCATCCCAACAACCGCCCTTCGCGGCATAAAGGCCAGACTACAGCAGTCTACAACTACACTACAACCGATCAAACTTGTCGAGTAAAGGATCTTTCACGCTGAAAGCGGATGCCTCAGCCTTCAAGGCTGTGCGCTCTGCTCCGGTGGCCTCTTGCGCCCTCTCCAGTAGGGACGAGATCGCCAAAGCTTGTTTTTCAAGTTTCTCCACGTTTGCATTGATGGTAGAAACCCGCATCAACGTATCTTCCAACTTACGTTTGCTGGACTCCAAAGACTGCTGCACTGGATATTTCTTCTCTAGGAAAAGGCGTGCAGCTGCCTCGTCATCAGCCTTGAGCGCTTCACTTGCTCTGCTCGTCAGTTCCTCCACTTCAGTGTCAAGTCTCACCACCTTTGCAGCCAAGGAGTCCTTGATTTCCTCAACGCGCATCTTGCTGTCCATAGCATCCGCAAGTTCACGGCCAGCCAACTGAGCAAGTTTAACGATATCTTCATCGATATCCTGCTCTATCCGGCTGCCGCCACGTCTGCCCCATTCAGATCCCAAGTTTGCTCCAAAAATGGCTCCAAATGGTCCCAAAAGTAAACCACCAAGTACTGCTCCACCAACTGCACCAGATATCGATCCTTCATCAGCAGCCTCTTTTGTTTCCCTCACTCGCGGAGTGGAAGCGCGTGCCAAACGCTTCGACACATCTTCAGAACCATGCCGAATAACAAGGCAATCCTGTCGTTTTGGCTTCCAGGTTGCCAGCCATGATGCACTCCAAGTGCATCTGCCCAACAATACCAATACAAGAAGTAACCCCGCACGGAGCTTCATTGGCCCAAACAGCCGAAAATATATTATCATGAAAACCTGCTTGACCTATCATGGGATAATAATCCTCACTATTCGCATGGGATCAAAGTTACCCGGCGTTGGAATGAACATCTCATCACAATGGCTCTGTTGCAAACGCACATACAGTACACCTTCTGAACCAAAAGCATCTCGGCATACAAAGAATTAATGAAACGTCTTGGATATTTGAGTTTAAAGACCTTCTTCCTGACAGGAGGTTCTTGTTTTGCCAAGCCATTTCCAATGATAACTGATGATGCAGCCTTGTTGTTCTTGTACGGCTGCCTTTCTGAAGAGATTGCGCGCTGTTGGGCTTCATGCGCCATGCGCCCAAAAGAAGCCCTTTTGCAGGTGGCTGGCGATGTATTTGACATGGTCTTGCTTGTATTCTTGTCTGGATCACCAATCACGGGTGAATTGACAATCCAGCTTTCACAGCAGTTGGGATAAGAATATGTTCTCGCGATTCGGCATAATCTCCAGTGGGCTCTTCAGCGATCTGCGCTGACCTTCGTTGTCATTTCCGAAGATACCTCGCGAAATCTACATGCGGCGTTGAAATAGTAATCCGTGGCTGATGATTTCTTGCCGTCTGTGGCCACGTGTGGTGATACGAAATATCCGGGCGGTTTCACGATCTGCAGCGGCTGGTGGCTTTGGTTTGTCCTACAAACAAATATGTCCTACAGACAAGTATTTGCCTATATTCTGAATCCCTCGATCATCAAGAGTCACCAGCCATGATGCAACTCACTGAACTGGCTGGCCCAACGCAACTGAGTATATCTTTCCCAACCCTCCATGACAATCCGTCCAGGCAACTGTTTGCGCTTGCCGATTAGCCCACGCACAAGGCAACACCTTTTTGCAAAAACGCTGATGTTGGCTCGCTCAGAAAACTGTATCCCAACTTGGATGGACCGCAGAGACTGCGGGTTTCACCTTGGCAACAAACCAACTTCACAAAGGCAACCAAACTCCAACCCGCGCCTGTGCACATCATTTGCATAGTCCATGCTCACCTAACTTCAACTTCTTCAAGATTGCATTGCCAACTGCGCCCGGTCTTGCAAGATTGAACTGCAAATACTGCAAACGAAGCCAACTGCGTCCATTTGAGCAGCGGACTTCGAGAGCGCAACAATGCCAATCACAACGACAGCAACGATACCCAGGGCGACTGCAGTGTGCTCCTTCAAGTACCTTGTCTTTTAGCAAATCCCTCGCGAATCTTCATCCTACAACCTTTCCCAAGAGAAGATTTGGCTTTCTGCCGTCCAAGGGCCCAAATGACTCTTCTGCATAGGGTGTGACTAACATGCCAATCATGAGAGCAATGCCCATGATGGCGGAGCCAATTCCTGCTGCCGCTGATGCAACAGCAACGGCGAAGACAGCAACATGCCCTTAAATGAATATTACGTGATGTAGCTTGTGTCCTGTAGATCGAGCATAGTTGATGGGCTTGAAGTACTCACTGAAGGGTAGCCTTGATACTCACAAGACCAGAATCAGCCACTTCCACATTGAACTCAATGGGCTGCTTGTATATATTATATATATATATGTGAAGCAAGATTACAATAGATTGACCAGCCAAAGTTGGTCTATGTCCCTGTTTTTCGCAATAATTGTTGGTGAGATCCTCCCGAGCCAAAAGACTTCTTCTCCTTGGGCTGCAAGGTGAAGCCCCGCCATTCGTTGCACGGTGAAGAAATGATGCCTCAGACTCAAGTTGGCATCTCGCATTAAATAATCTCAACAACGCTACCTATCCTACGAACCTTCAATGATTTCCAACAAGTAGCATGATGCCCAGATCGTGAGGCCGAAAACCATTGCCTAAACAGAGTCAAGCATTCATCAAAAAAAAGTTGAGTCAAGGGCCTTGACAAAAGGCCCATTGTTTGGCAGGAAGGCATATATATATAAATACTTATGCAGGGAACAACACAAACAAGTCTTGATCGTCCAATGTGTGCATTTGTGCATTCCTTTTTAAAGGAATTAACAAATAGGAATCAAAAACAAAACTTGAGTGTCAGGAGCGGGAAGGTAGCAGAGAAAGGCGTTCATTCAGTTGCAAAACGGATCAAAAACAAAACAAGACCTCGAGCAGGTCGGTGGGAAGGTACGGGTAGGGTAGAGTGGGCACACCAAACACAATTCAGAACCCGGCCAAAACATTGTTAGGCCTCTGCTGCTCGCAGTTGTTAAAGCTTTGTTGAAGATGGGTAGGAAACAAAATGTTGGGTAGGATTGGGCAAGGTTGGGTAGGTACGATAGGTATAGTGGTTAGGGACATGCAAATAATGGAATGATTAGAATGTTGATTTCGTGGCAGGCAGTGGAGTAAGGATACATTGTGCAGATTTCGCTGCGCGGGGGGAGGGTTGCGAGAGGGCGCAGCGCCTCCACACCCACATGCATGGAAACTACTGGTGAAACGGTGCATTTTCACTGGTGGTGAAGCCGTACGTTTCTATGCCGCGACTCACGGTCCAGGCCTGCACACCCCACATCCCTTGGCTTCGGTATGTGGGGGGTTGTACGGGAACGTATGCGGCAGCAACGCACGGAAAATCCGTGCCCCGGACCCCTGGGAACTGCCAGCTCCGTAGTCTTCCTTCCTTACTCCCTCCCTGGCTTCCTTCTTTCCTTTCCTTTCCTTTCCCTGCCCTTCCCTTCCCTTCCCTTCCGTTCCGTTCCTCTCCTCTCCTCTCCTCTCCTCCTCTCCTCTCCTCTCCTCTCCTCCCCTCCCCTCCCCTCCCCTCTCCTCTCCTCTCCTCTCCCCTCTCCTCTCCTCTCCTCTCCTCTCCTCTGCTGTGTTGTGCTGTCTTTTCCTTTCCTGTCCTTTGCTTTCCTTTCCTCTCCTCTCCTGTCCTGTCCTTTCCTGTCCTTTCTTTTCCCATGGAAAGGAGGCCCAATGGCCTGCATGGTTAAGACTTCCCCAAAACAATGACAATGGAATCAACCAAGACGCCCATCCACTCTCCAAACCGCGCTCTCTTTTTCCTAAATCATAGACCGGCAAGCTGGGGGTATGAGGCCCACGGATCTGTGTTGCAAAGATCACCAACATGGCCAAGACAGAACATCAGAGGGGAATAACGCCTCCTAGTTCTAGGGAGGCGTGCGGGCCAGTGCCACCACTGGAAAACCAGTCACATCACAGAAATGCAGTGCGGTCTAAAGCTCAGACCCAAGATCTATATGCCCCGTCACTCCCTTGGATTTGAGAACGGGCTGATTTTTTCCAAAGTGAGCAGCTGCTTGGCGCTTTTGATGCTGCCCATTTCATCTTCGTGACTGACACAAGTGTGCAAGGGCACAAAGTGTAGGCACGCCATTTTGGTGAACTTGTCCACCACGCAATACGCAATGCGCGAATAAGAACCCCCTTGAGCCTCTCTCGCTGTACGATCACATTCCTGGGCAGGCATGCGGGCTGATTCAGTGTGGTCGCTGGATCCACCCATTTCCCCCACTCTTTGAATTGCACTGTAAAAGTGATGGGCCTTAAAGACAACTCGTCGCAATTTGCTTTGAGGCCCAATGGTCACATTTTCGTCGTTGAAGCAGGTCTTCAATATGTTCAAGAATTGGTCTTGATTGATTTGCCCGGAATTCTCGAAGAATGGCTCCCCCTCTGTAGGAGAAATCGCTAAAAGCTGTCGGAAGGCAAAAAGGCGCTGCAATTGCCCTGTAACGGTCAAGTCGCCAAGTTCTGCGCCCGCGTCCACCCACGCATGGAACCAAGAAAGACCCGACGAGAAAAAAATGGTGGCGACCACCAATAAACTTCTGTTTCCGACTCGGCTCTTTGCCCATCTCCAACTCTGCAGCGCGCATAGAGTCGGACAAGCATGGACCCTGCTAAGAGTCGATCCTGTACTGGTGAAGCGCCGACGCAAACATGCGGTCAGCGCTGGCGCCTGCTTCATAGGCGCACTGTCAATGAACATTATAGCTGCCAAGCCAGAAATGCGCTTGTTGACTGTCGGACCTCCCTCAACATCAAACAAGGCCATGTGAAGCGCACGGCCTCGACATATGATTGCATAGAACTGGCGGCAGCCTGTTTGTCAGCTAAGTGCTTGACGTACTGGTACATGGTCTGTTCGCAGAAAGGAAAGTGTACGTTAACATGAATTCTCGCAATGTTATAGTGGACTTCATGGACACAATGTCTGAACCGCGGCACACGCTGTTCCTTGAGGGCGGTGCGTCCTACTGCTGACGCTTGAGGCACTGACATGATGGCCGCCGACCACTGCTGCGAAATGGCTACTCGACGAGCATCATCCACTGCAGCTGTTGGTCGGTGTTTCCGGTGGTGTTTGCTAAAGACACTGCAAAGTGCTTTCAGCTTCCTGAGCTCAGGCTCAGCAGCTGGACGCTCATATATAAATGTCATTGGGCGGCAAAGGTCCCGGATGTGGACGTTTCCACTTCAAAGAGAGCTGCACCGTGCTCCCATTCCATCTGTGGCTGGCGCAGCGCAAGCTGTTGCAAGCTGTCGCCAGCAAAAATCCAACAACCGCAGTGCCACCACTGGAAAGCCAGTCACATCACAGAAATGCACTGCGGTCTTTAGCTGAACATGCAAGTTGTCCAAAACAACATGCATAACCAAAGGGCGTCAACTCCCTTTCCAAAAAAAGAACTAACAAGGAGAACAAAGGACCGAAGTCAGGGCCCAAAGGCCCAAGGGTTCAGCAACCCACCAAGAAGAAGGAGAAGGACAAAGCAGGCGACACCAAAGCCCGGTCCAAACATCTTCAGACCGGGACCGTTCGCAAGACAGGCGCCTACAATAAAGCAACATCAACAAGTTGAGGTAAGCTTCCTTTCCATTCCGTTCCTTTCCCCTTCCCTTTCCCTTTCCCTTTCCCTTTCCCTTTCCCTTCCCCGTCCCCTTCCCCTTCCCCTTCCCCTCCACCCCTTCCCCTTCCCCTTCCCCTTCCCTTTCCCTTTCCCTTTCCCTTTCCCTTCCCCTTTCCCTTCCCC